CACCTGGAGAACTGGCTCCTGTACTTCCCCATCGGGCAGATCCTCTTCGTCAGCGGGGAGAGGCTGATCAGCGACCCCGCGGGGGAGCTGGGCAGAGTCCAGGACTTTCTGGGCCTCAAGAGGATCATCACGGACAAACACTTCTACTTCAACAAAACCAAGGGTTTCCCGTGCCTGAAGAAGGCGGAAGGCAGCAGCAAACCCCACTGCCTGGGGAAAACGAAAGGCAGGACCCACCCCGACATAGACCAAGAGGTGGTGCAAAGACTGCGGGACTTCTACCGGCCTTTCAACATGAAGTTCTACCAGATGACGGGGCAGGACTTTGGCTGGGACTGAGGCTGAAAAAAATAATTTAAGAAAAGGAAAATATAATATAATATATATTTTTTTTACATATCAGTAGAGAGGGGGGAAATACAGAAAAAAATAATAGTGCTGAAAATGTTATTTGTTCTTATTTTTTTCTGTTGCCATTGTTTTCTTTTCTTTCTTCTCTCAGAAATGAGGTGATATGTCCTAGCAGAGGACAAAGGAGGCTGTGAACTGCAACTTGGTCTTACTGACATCACCTGCAGCTTGGTTGTTTCCTCTGATGGGCCCAAAGTTTAACATGGTCTCTAAAAAAAAGACAGATTCAAAAATTTGTATATGTTTCCAGGTTCCATTTTCAGAAGTGACATAAGTGTTTGGGGGAGCTCAGAGCCCTACTGGAAGGTCAGTCAGATTTTGGGCTGCAAATACCATTTTAGACCAGACCTTGGTCACTTTTGACAACTGAACCAAAGTCCTAATACTTAATTTGGCTTTTAAAATCTTACCATAGAGTTTTTTTTTTTTCTTGCACGAAACCATCGGTGACATTTTTTTTATTTACCTGATTTTTTCTTTGACTTTTGGTCCCCCTCAGTCAAACTTTTTTCATCAACCAGACTTAGATCTTTTTCATCTTACAGAAGTCGAAACCAATATTACTTTGTTTTGTTTTGAAACAAAACACTTTTGGTAGCCAAAAGTAAAAGAAAATAAATTATTCTGTTGACTTTATGATTAAAATTTCTAGGTAGTCAAAAGCCCTCATTGAAGGGTTTTGGCTCTAAACCAGCATTCCCGGGAACAATCACCCTTGTCTATGCCTGACAACGGAACGCTTCTCCCAGCGGGCCCCATCAGAAGGGATTTGGGTGATAGGTAGGGGAGGGTCCATGCTAAGATACCACTCGTGATACACCTCTCCTAGAGGGGATGGGCGACCCACCATCCTGCTTCTCCTATGCAGGAAACAAGCTTGCAGGGAGGTGTCTGGCGGATTGACACTTAGGTCATATTGAAGAATGCTTTGGACCAATCTTGAAAGAAAAATGGTGGAGTGAGGGTTGTTTGGAAAAAAAATGAACAAAAAGCATGTTCAGAAAGAGAATGCACATGAGGAGAAATGATGGAAGTTTTCTTGTCCTTTCCTACTGCAGAACCAAAGGGGAAATAGGAAGGAGATTGCCAGTTTTCCAGGGCCTCAAAAATTGTCAGGGAAAACAAATCTTCTGTTTGTAATAACCAGGAGCTTTAAATTCTTTGCTTTGATCCTCTTCACCTTTTTTGGCTGATAGAAATGTCTCAGCGACACAAACCTATTCCTTAAGCTCATGTATTACAGCGGACCCATTTATCTGCTGGTTATTTATCTTTAGTATTTTCTGGGCTATAGTACCACCTAATTATCGCTTGGTGCTGTAGCAACACAGACCATGATGATGTTCCCTCTCCTCAGTCTGACTTTAAAAAGCCCCTGAGCGAGTATAAGAAACTAAGGGAGGGATCACCAGGAAAATCCAGGTAGGAAGAAGTCTGGGATCCCAGCTCACGGGCTGCCCACACTCTGGCCAAGACTGATGTAAAATTACAGCAGAGCAGAGACTTCAAACAATAAAAAAGGACTGTATCAAGACCCAGACCATGTATACGAAATTACCACTTAACCCGAAAGAAAGTCATTTTCATATTGGTCTTCTTGCTTGATGGATTAGGAACAGCTCAGTACCCATAGCAACTTCACGGCACCAGCTTTGCAGGTGAAAGGCTACATCCATCCTGGCTCCCCTGAACCCCCTTACTCACCCCTGCATGCCTCTCTCCTTTCCTGAGGATGCAGCATCTGAGGAAGACTGCCTTCCTACACCTGTTGAACGCACAAACCAGGGTGGTTTCACATGCAAGGCCAATTTCCCAAGCTAATTAAAACAAAATAATAAAGTCCCAGGACTTTCTCCTACCCCACAAAGCCTTACCTGAGCTCAGGTTTTCATGCTTTGGTCGACAAGTTGGCAGTAGGAAACCAAGGCTGCGTTCAGCAATCTGCCCTGGCGCGGCAGGCCGGGGTGTCACCCTCGCTGCCTTCACTAGTATTTTCACCTCCTTCCCACTATTCTTGCTTCAGTATGTCCCATCACTGATTTTAAGCCCTTTTTTGGCTGCATCCTGAGCCACGTACAAATCTGGACAAACATTTTACATAATCATCTCCTCCAAAGCATGGGAAGCAGCTACAGACTATGCAAACATGAGTGTGTGCAGCTAGACCCCAAACAGCCTTTTCTCCTCCCTGCCTCCCCTCAGCCTCCCTCAGCGTTCATGCAAGAAATCAGGTGGGAAAGCTGGAAAGGTTGGTCACAGAGTGCTACTTGGCTTCCTGGGGCTACAGGCCCTACTAGCATCTCTGGAGTTCACTGCTGGAGCTCAAAGGTCCTGAATCAGAGCAAGCTAGAAAGAGAAAGGTGATGGGACCTTGGTGAGGGTCTTCCCAAAGCATGGGCAGGGGCGAGCAGAGCAACCTGCTCTTTGCCTATGCTGGCCAGGTCAAGGGGGAATGGGCTTAAGGCGCAGCAGAAAGTAGGGGGTGAATTATTAGGAAAAACTTTCTAACTGTGACACTTGTTGGGGCAGAAATGGGGGATGATAGCCATCCCTTGCAGTGCCGTATTCTTCCACATCTCCGACTGCCAAAGCGGAGCAGGCAGCCAGGGCAGTGGCGAGGAGGCAGTATCGCTCGCTGATTTACTGGCGCACCGAACAGCGCTGGCACCGCTTAAAAAAAGAGGAGTTAAGCAGGTAATTTCTTTGGCCTTTCAAGGAGAGTTAAGGTTGGGCTAATCTGTATGTGTCTTTGACAAGTATAAATATCATTTAAGTGTATGATTTAAAAAAAAAATCAATATAACGATATTGCTACTGGCTCTCATATGGTCACATTTAGATTAGTACAAAGCCGCTTTATAGTACTACAGATTGTTCTTCCCATATTGAACTAACTATAGTGATATAAAGCACCTTCATACAAATGAGCTTCTGCAACTGCCACCAAATGACTCTTGTTAAATCAGTATAGCTTCAGTGTGTACACAGGCCTAACTATCTTATATGCTTTTAAAAAAAGTCTTCCCGGCACATTGACTTCAACCACATAGGCACACTTTCCCCAAAATATGGATGCTTTACATCTATTCATTTCTAAGGTTTTGGAATCCCTAGATGCCCACCTAGTAAAACTATTTAGGGCTCTGAGACTGTAATTGATTTTTTTTTTTCTTAATCTGGGCCATAAGTATTTTTGAAAATCCTTCCACGTATGATCAATGGCTTTTAAAAAGAGGCCGTGCAATCAAAATCATTTTGAACTCTAATGACATTTAAGCCCCTAAACCCTTTAGGCTCATTTTAAAATCCAGTCATGACGTTCAGATTATTTTAACTTAAGAACAACTGGATGTAAATTCTGCCCTGTATGGGAAACTCGACCCTTCCTAGGCCATTTGAGCATGTGTATAAGGCAAGAAAGCAGCTATAAATAAAAATGAAAGTGATCTATAGAGTTTGATTCTTCTTAAAAAGCAGAAAAATCAATACATTAACAACGAGCAACTAATTAGGTGTATTAAAATTCTCCTGGTTTCAATAATGCAATGTGTCATTAGGCACTGATGAAGCTTGGGCTTATTAGATGCCATGCAACATTTAGATTTTAGAACACTTATTTCTGGAGAAAAAAAATCCTTTATAAAGCATCATGGTCCATGTCAACGGCCAAATTCATCCTCCGGTTATACGGCCATGGGCACTTTTGGCAACACTACATCAGCCACTCTAACCCTCAGACAGAGGGTGCTGAGCACGAGTATCGCCCCGACTGCTTTTGCTAGGAGCAGGGAGCTTTGCACCATGCTTCAACTGGCCACACCTGGAAAATCTCAGAGAAATGGGGTTTTCTTTACCAGTCTGGTAAGACAAAAACTGCCCTTTCTGCTGCTATACTAAAAGGAGGTGCATTGCTGTGATTTCTGGAGAGAGCTGGCAGGGCCAGGAACGGACTGCGGCATCCACATTAGTTAACGCGGCTGACTTTGCGCCGGGGGGGAATTAATCAACTCCTAACGAATTGCTGTCGCCCATTAATTTATAGGGTAAAAAGGAACATAAACACCAGTATACCACAGAGATCAGTGAACGACACTCCTCTATGTGCTCTTCGGGTGGTCTTTGGGGTGCAGCACTAATAAGTTAAATTTCAAGCAATGATATGCTTATTTGGTCACGTCTACACTGCACTTGGTTATTTTGACTAATCCTAATCCTTAGCCTCCTCAGTTCTCTCTCTCTCATACACACACACAGTGTTAGGTCTCCGGGTTGGGAAAAAAAATGCCCATTTTCTTAAGCATTAAAAAAAAAATTCTTGTTCATATATAATGCTTTCTGGGTTTTCTCTCCTCCCTCCCCTTTGCTTTGTGATACTGTCATCTTTCTCCCTTAGGTGCTATTTCAGTACGAAGCAGACTGATTTTAATTTAATTTAAGAATGAAAAAAGCACACATTTAATAAAGTTTACGGGTACTGAGAGGCTGTGCTCTCTTTTTGCTGGCGGCAGCAATCTGGAAAGAGCGGGAAACTTTATGAAACGGGAAAACACAAAATTATCCACTTGTGACTGATTGAATCCCTTCAAACTTACACACTCCCCAGCAGCCACAGGTGCTGGTAAGGAAGACCGGCACATAGGTTTTTAAAGCTCTTCAGCATTTAACACCTTACTGCTTTCTTTAGATAGCAAAACGCCTCCAAAGTCTGGCCTTGGAGGTTCTTGCAGCTACTCACCCCTGAGTCATTGCCAGGCCAGCCACGTCCGCGGCGCTTTGCGAATTTGGCAAAGTCACACTTTTCCCCTGACCTGTTAGAAGATGAACAAACCAAACGCACGTTGCATTAAGGGAAATCCAAGGTGGAAGCAATTCACCAAGAAATATATACAGTGGAACAGCCGTCGTATATCAGGTTTTCTGTGTGGTCAAGTAAAGTGATATTCTATTTATTTTTTTCAATGTATAAATAGATTAAGTCCCAGGAAAAATACGCTCCCAAACTTCATAATATTTTATTAAACCACTGAAGTTTAATATAATCTTTTGGCTTCAACAGAAAAATGTTCCATTTCTTTTCTGAGCACCTTTGATTTTATTTTCTTTTAATTATTGTTATCCGGAGTTAACAATGTGGGTTTTGCACTCCACCCAGCGAGGACTATCCGGATTAGAAGCGGGGAATTTTGCTGAAATACAGACATAACTATGTGGTGGTAAGAAGTCAATGATGCCTCAGTGGAAAAAAATCTGGAAAAGCCAATCTGGAGAATGAATTCCCCTTAGCCAGGCAATAACACGGCCACATTCCTCAATCCATAGCTGTTATTACCTAAGAGATCAGCCAGCAACGTTCCTCCAGACATGCTACCTCCTTCATCTTAGCTCCTGTCCACACTGCTGCAGGCGGGGCTGGAGAGCTGCTCCGGCTCGCTCAATCCTCAGAGCCGCATAGCTCCTTACGCCGAGGGGCAACTCATAAATCCAGGTCCGACGCTATGCTTAGGCTCAGCATCGTGCTGCGCAAACAGTCCTCCAGATGCACCAACTAGGAGGGTGCCAAGTTGCTAGTGATGGCCAATGTCGTGCCACACTCCCTGCTCAGCCCGGGATCTTCGACAAATGACAAATCGCCCAATCGCCAACCCAGTTCATCTCGAAAGCTGTTGGAAGCCTAGCAGAGCTTTTCAGAAAAGACTCAGCACCTGCCTTTCAGGGTCATGAAATATTAATAATGATGGTAATAATCATCTCCTGTTTTTTTAGACAATCGTGCAATTTCTGGAGGTCAAATCCATTGGCCTGAGTGCTACCTGATGCCGTTCAACTGAGCAACAGAGGAATTTCTATGCAGCTTATCAGATACAAGTAAGCATTCCTCTCGCCAAACCTCTTAGCTATTTCCTCTCCACGTCAGTCACGGCCCTTCATTTGTGGGCCTCATTAGAAGAACGAAGCGAGTTATCAGAGAAAGGTATTTCATGTCACAGAAGAGCTGCCTAATAGCCATGCACGGACCTCTCCTCCCCATCTCTCCCCAGAGGAACAGTAACCTGAAAAGGATTAAAAAAAAAAAAAAAAAAAAAGTGAGGTGGTGCCTTTCCTTCGACAAGCTTCTTGCCCGTGCAGGGAAACCCTGATGGTTGCTATAGCTCTTTCTTTTTTGCTTAGCAGTTTAAAATTTGCAACTTAGATACAGCCTTGATAACCGAAGGTCCTTTGCCACAAATATAATAGTATCTGGCTCTTGTGATTTCCTCCATTAATTTCAGGGCGATTATGATGTTTTAGAAACGATCAGGATTAGACCTGCTCAGCCAAAATCTCTCTACCTCATTTCTTTTGTTCTGCCACCAGTAGCTGTGATTTAGGGCACGCGAGCAACATCTACAGGAAATGACTGAAAGGTATTGGCTGGGGAGCACTTACATTCCCTTGTCCTGGGCTTATGGGACAGAATCAATAGATTTTCTATAGTGCTCCCTGCTAGAAACCCCCTATGGCTAGGCACATAAGAGATGGAAACAGAGTAAAAATAATTCTCCCACGTCCAAAAGCACAAAGGAACGCGGCTGAATGCATCCCATCGACAGGGCAAATGAAGTCACTAATCTAATTACCCGGCTCTCTGCATGCCTAGGGCTGCACCCAGCCTCATCCCCAGCCCACCGGGGCTTTGCCAGCTGCATAGCCTGGCAAAACAGCCCCAGTGGCTTTGCTGGACCCACACTTCTGGGACACATGGAAGCATTTGCGCTTTCACTGTGCTATGTTTCACCTACCAAGCAAAAGGAGGCTTGTTCAGCACTTGGACGGGAGACTGTGAAAGCAGCCACAGGTTTATTCCACCCGTTCTGCCTCTTGGAGTCTGCGGTAAATGCACCAGCACTGCTGACGGGACCCCCGCGGTAGGCAGGGTCCATCATGCTTGCAGCCTCAAGAGATTTGCAGCACTCTCACACACGGGACTCCTGCAGATCTCTGTCTCCAAGCCAGACTTCAGCTGAGCTAATTGTATCCGGCCACCAGGATAATTTCCACTGGATACATCCTTCTGCCCTCTGCTGCTGTGGATACTGTTGCTCTACATCTGCCTCTCCAGAGGCGGCTGCATTTTGGTGCTCAGCAAAGGACATTTCTCCAAAAGTAGCTCTAAGGTCCCCTTGGCAGGGTCATTTCCTAGTGGCAGCAGCACATTGGCTTCTTGAAGTGGACCCACCTTTCCAGCACTTCCTCCTCCACCATTTCCACAGACAGCAGATGCCACCTCATGGAGGTGGGGGGGGGGGGGGGGGGTTGAGGTGACAGCGTCACGAAGCTCGGGGCATGCTGCCAGCCCCATCCCTCCCCATGTGCCGGCGTGGCACTGAGTGCTATTTGCTGTTTTGGGGATCTCTCTCTCTTGCTTTTCTCTGCCCGGTCCAGCAGCATCGCTTGCCCCTGGCGAGGCCAGCTTCCAGTCATGCCCAAGACGGCCCGACAGTAGCCAGAGCCGCCCAGGATCTGGACAACCCTGGAAGCATTGCTCCGTGCCCAAGTGTGGCCATGAGGATATCCAGCCCATTAGGCTGGTATTTGTATGAATAACAATGGGACTCGCTAGCTCGGCACAGAAGTGGCCAGAAAAGGCCAGGTCTGCCAAATAAATGGGTTATTAACTCTGAACCCCTCTGCAAGCAAAGGGTGGTGACTGAACTTTCCCTGGTCCACTGCACACAAAGGTTAGCACCAGCTGTGCTCAGCCGGTGTAGGAGGGGACTGGAGGATGCTGCTGGTGTAGAAACAGATGGTGTATGCACATCGTGGCGATATTTGACTTTTTTCGATTTGAATATCAGATTCTGTCCCCTCCAGGCTTTCCCTGCCTGACGGAGACTCCTTGAGAGCCTGGACCCGGCACCCGATGGGCAGCGCAGCAGCACTGCACAGTGCCCACGCCAGTACCCTCCGCACAGTGAGACGGCGCGATGCCAGCACCCTAATCCTGCCTTGGCCAAACAGAAGCTACAGCTCGTTTTCTAAGCAGCGCAGGAACCCCTGGCCAAAGCTGGAGTCTCACATTTCAACATCCTAAACCCTAGTTAGACATAGCACTCGCCAGAACCGGTGATGCCGAGGTGCCTGGGCGCCCGTGGGACTCGCACTGCACATCCGACTGGCTGCATCTGAACTCCGGTGGAAAATGCTGCAGCCACACTGATCGGAGGAATTTCTCCTGCTTTGACACCCCATTTTTTACTAGCTTTACGAAAGAGAAAATTGTCATATGCTTCTACTTTTCTAGGGGGCCAAGATGTCCTTTAGATACCAGCTGCCAGTATAAACAGACATGAGAAACAGGTTTCTGGTTCCTGAAAACTGTCGAACGCTGTAAACAATTTTCATGTCAAATAGGAATAAACAGTCAGAATCGCAATATTGTTTATGGGTTTTAAAGAACAACAGTCTTTTGATTTCAGGGAAGCCAAACATTTTGGAAAGACAGTTTTTTAACATTTGGTTTCAATTCTCCCAAACGTTCAGTAAAGAAAATCCGTTCATGCTACTTAGCTTACAATTTAAAAAGAAAATTGTTCTGAACTAGAAAAATGGATGTTTTTTATTTCAAAAAAAATAGAAAGCTTTTCACATATTGGACAATCTTGGAACATTCTTTCAAAAATAACACTGGGTCAAGAAATTTGTCAAGGCTGATCTGCTCCTATTTAAGGTTTCAGTTTTGTTGAATTAGCTTTTATTTATTTTATTTTTTTAACCAAAAAGGAATACTTAGTCAAAAAAAAAATTCCTGACAAGTAACATTTGTCAGCCTGAGAGCTGAAATTTTCTTCCTCGGCCTCCTCCTCTGATTGTCAGCCTGCATTAAAACGTTCATCTCTGACATCAGCCCCCACTGCAGCTCCCAAAACAGATGCCTAGCAACTGGACAGAGTGGAAAACAGAGTTCTTTAATTTCCTCTTTGCATTAGAGTTCATTAGGAAAAATCCAGAGGCCCCTTATTGAGAAAACATCTGCATTTGCATTTCTTCTGTGAATGCTCAAATTATATTTCGCTTTAGGGTTCCCTCCCCGCCCTTTCTTGTTTCTTTCCTAGGGGATGGAGACCCTGCCTGCACCACTGACACTGAACTTCTTCTCTGTTTACAATTAATTCCTGAAACATTTTTTTCACTTCTGCAAATACAGTCACTACCTCAAAACTGAACGGCTTACAGCAACATAATTTGCTAGCTCTGTTGTTAGGGAATTATCTATTTAAGCTATTTGTTAGTATTAGTGATTACTCAGTCAAGTCACACGGTAGTATAGCCAATCCCAGGCTGGATAACAAATCTCTCGGGAAGGAAGAATGAGAAAATGGTTACTACCATACTTTACAGCATATCTCTTGGATGATTAACTATCATGCCTAAAATTTATCAGGTTTGGCGTGTATGCTCACTTCCTTAGCCAGTATTTATAGTTAATAGTTTGCAATCACCAAACTCTACTTTGCAATTGTGTTCATGAAAATATTTGCACATCTAGACTTTTTTTAATTATTCAGTCATCTCTGTAAGCCACCAGTCCCAAGTACAGCCACCTAAAACTGGAATGTAATACCAGGAAGAGGAAGAGCACCAGTCAGAAATGCAAATGCCAAACCATGCAGCATACAGAGGTTTGCAATTGTTTGCCTCAGATCCACTCTCAAAATCCTTATTTGCTTGGTGGCAGAGGCTAAGCTGTCCACTTTGTGAAACCATCCGGGATGCAGCTAGGAAAGCAAATTAATTGGCAGTCTGTGGGACATCACTGATTAACAGCAAGGAAGACTAATTTCCCCTCGCCTGGATCCTTCTCCTCCTTACACGAATCTTCTCACTCCCCCTTCTTTGCCTACTGGTTGCAGCTTTGGGCTCGAAGAGGAGGAGGAAGAAGGCAGGCAGGAGGAGAGTGGGGAGAGAGAGTGAGAAAGTCTCCAGGTCCGTAGCCCCAACCTGTTCTGCCCTGTAGCCAGCAGTAATGATAGTGAATAACGTGCAAAGGGGAGCAGCCGACTTTTCCTCCTACAAAGGACCTCAGAGGGTCTCATAGGTAACATAACACCGTAGGATATGGCTGCTGTCTTCTGATCCAGATTTCCTAAAAAGACACAGGAGTGCGTCTGTGCATATACAGCGGTGTTCGTGCGGGAGACTAGAGCTTTGGCAAGCCCTCCATGCACATTCAGAGAGTTACTGCTCTGAAATACAGGGAAGTCAACAGGAGGAAAAAAAAAAAAAAGATTCCCAGATGTTGCACTTGATTTTGTATCGGGCTCTTTACTACCTGTGTGGCCTTGGCAGAGCACTGGGGCTTCTTGCATGTCAGCTCCCATGTTCCTGCTGGATCCATCCTGAGATATGGAGCTGGCTAGTGGTCAGAGAGAAGAAGCCAAGCTGCAGCTTTTCCTTTCCTCCACTCCCAACTCATGGGCTGCGCTCCAGTATCTCTGTTGAGAGAAGGAAATAGGTTTTTATTAGTCGAATGAAACAAAGAATGAAGGGATGAAAGTGAAGGTCCAAGGGAGTTGCAGGTGGGGAGACACCAAGTAACTGGAGTGTGGCAGCTGTTGGTATAAAGCTTGCTCTTGTAGAAGTGTTACCAGAGTCCTTCATACCCATCCTTTCTGGTCCGTCCCTAGCTCTGCCTTGGAGCAACGCAGCTTCCCCATGCCTCCTCCACAGCTCTGACCCCCTCTCTGCATATCACTTGCTCAAAGCTGCCCACGCACCCTGCTCAGCTAGGAAAACCTGCTCATTCTGTCACATGTAGGTTTGTGGGCTTTCCATGGTCATCCTATGGCCACCATCCTTTCCTGCACAAGACACCTGAACCCAGAATGAAGCAAACTACTGAGCTCAGAGCATTAGAATTGCCTCTGTACTTTTAAATCCCCCTTTCCATTTATTATCATAAAACCAGTTTTCCTTGGCTACCCCCAGTTGGAAAGTCATTTTCCAAGGTGAAAGACAGCTCTCCTTTTCAGCACCACCACTCCCATCTCCAACCAGAAACGGGATGGAGAAGTCCTACAACCATCCATCCATAGAGTGTGCCTCCATCCTCAGGTTTAGATTTAGGCACTTTGCACCATGGTCAATCAGAAACAGAGACACTCAGTCATCTTCCTTTCCTTTATATGCTACATCCTCCAAGCACTGAAATGCAGCCAAGTTTGGGGGATATTGGTAATTTGGTGGGCAGATGATTTTTGTAAAGTGATATACAAGTGAGCTCAGGAGGATACTATATTTCTAGGCAACTGGAGCCTACTGCTGTTTTTGCATAAAATTCTCTTCTACTTTTTGGCAGAAGGCTCCTATGTAAGGCCTCATTTGAAGATTCATGCACTTGGCAACCCTGCACTCAGGTTAGGTGCTGCAGAACTCTTTCAAGTCTGCAAGGTTTGTATTTGTGCATCATCCACACCAACTCACACCAAACACACTGAGATCCTGGTCACTCCTGAACCCCGCTCCATGTCTTCAAGCAAGGGGCTGAACTAGCATCCTGCGGCTGGTGGGTTTCAGATCTCCAGCCAGTGCTTTAGCAATCATCATGCCTGAAAGTGTCAATCTCAAAAGAGCAAAAGGAGAATGTGGATCGGTATCTCTAGGACTCAGCAGGCTGGGGAAACCTCTCTTCCCAGGGCCCCGCTGGATTCCTGAGCTGCCAGGCCACTCCAAGTGCATTTCCATCCTGTGCCAGCAGTAATAGGAAATGACAGCTGATGAAAGCTGCTGTTCATGGCCTCCTGAAACAGTTCTCTGTCCACCTCCTCATCCCAGCCCCTAAATGAGATTCACTCATGGCATGAGTGGCATGAGTCTAAACCCAGAGAACGAAGAGGCTGGAGAATGTACCTATAGACCCAGTGGCCAGGTCTGGCCATGTTTGGTGTCAGGAAGGGGTTTCCTGGTGGTGCATCGCAGCCACAGCCACAGCCACATCACGCTAGCAGGCTGTATCCTGACGCTGTCATGTAGTCGAGGTAGCAAAGGTCCATCCCCAGCTCGTCTTCCATTTAGCTGATATTGTGTTTCAGGTTAGACATGGATAGACACCAAGGGTCTGTTTTTATATACCTGTAGGTTTCTTCAGTATCTGTATACCTCACAAAAACACTCAGCAGATGTGTGTAGGCACACACACACACACACACACACAAACACACACACACACACAAAGCAGGCACAATTACTCTGCTATTTTTCTGTATCCGGCCCCTTTTGTCCATACAGGAGACATGCTGCTTATTTGCTACAGCAGTGCTGGATGCACGCAAATAGGGCTGGAATGATTCTCACCCCAACTCCAGATGTCTCCACATGGGATTTCTATGCCTGAGCTAAGCTCCTTTCACAGGCAACGCCTTCAAAAGACAATTCCCCTGACAGAACTGAAATCCCTAAGTTCCCCAGATAGTCAATTCTACGTGCTTAGACACAAAGACTTTTTTTTTTCCCCTGGCCTTCAAAGGCATCTTCTTTTCTCCCTTGACTTTGTATGGGAGTTAAGTAATCAAACTGCTGCACAGGCTATGTAAAATCTAGGTTGGTTTCCATATGTCATATCTTAGGAAGTTCCACAGCTTGAGATGTAGGTTGAAGAACTGGAGAGGGATTTAGAGAAGACCCAGGAGAAGGGTTGAAGCCCTGGAAAGCCCTGGAGAGCACTCCATGAGTGGAAGACGCAAGCCAATCTTTCTAGCTTCACAGCAACCTTGCCTTAGTCTGTAAGAGAAGGGACTCAAGCTATCCTGGATCTGAGGTTGGGGCAGTGCCTTTGGTCATTCGTTGAGGTGCCTAAATCTAATCAGCTAAGTCTGGATTTAATCTTTCTCTCTTGCAGGTTGGTCAGCTGCACTACAGAATATGAATGAATTCTAAGACTCAGTGAATGTAAATAATTTTGTCCTAAAAAAAGTACCACAAGCGTACTGAGAAAATAATTCCTACCCATGTGCCCTAAGACTGAGAGACACCCAGTCAAATAAGAGGGATAAAAACAACTTTTTGAAATCAGTGAAATCTCAAAAAAAAAAAAAGAAGAAAGAAAGAAAGAAAGAAATCTCCCCTTTAAAACCCTGATTGTGGCATCATTTTACAAAGAAAGGAATTCCTGCATGGGATAATTAAAGATAGACACTTCAGTAACGAGTAACTTGGTTGATAATGAGATAATGACAGCAGGCGAGGATCAGCAATCAGGTGCCTCTCCTCTGGTATCCTGTGATGGTGTCATGACGGCTACAAATGAGGATTAATCCAATTCCTTTGTTGTAATCCGAAGCCTGTGTTGGGCTTGTCAGTCTGTTGGGACAAGCCCCTCCCTCTCTGCCTTAGCATTCACTGAAAGAGCTGTCCAAGATTGTATTTACTTACCAAATCTTTGTTGCTGAGGCCTGATCTGTGCCACGGTTCACTAATGAGGCACCCTCTGAAAAGCATTGGTGCTCTATCAAACTATAAAAGACAAAGGGATGAGCTCAGATGGATGCATTGCATGAGTGTCCTTAGCTTCCTAAAGCCAAGAGCCAAAACTGTATCACCCACCAACCTCAGAAGAATGAGGAATATTTAAAGTGGTCTAGAGGTAATGGTCCTAACCAATTTACTCCCCAGGTCTCCACCACTGAACTGGCAAGACTTCTTGTTTTGTCTGGCTGAAGAATAAGATAAATCCAACACTTCCAGCATACAGTATCACTCTGCTACTCATTTTAGGGCAAACCCAATGGGGGAGGAGAGGAAGGGGGTCCCCAAGCAACCATTACTAGCATATTAGGCCAAATACTGCCTCATTGTTTTCGTGTCTGCATGTATCTATCTTCTACCCATCTTCCCTTTAGCCTTTTGAGGCCAAGAACCTACAGAAATAGGATTTCATCCATGACAGAGGTTCTTGGGTGCTAGCCTGGTGGACAAGTTCCTGCCCAGAGGAGCTCAGTATCTGACTGCTCCATAAAAGCAGGAGATGGTGCCATCAGGATTTTCAGAGGGGCAAGGGGGAGCAGGGGCAGCAGGACCAGGTAGGTGCTATTGACTCTGAGGAGAAAGGGCCTGGGGATCTGTGTCCCTCTTGAAGGTCTTCCATTTGCACAGCAGACTTTCAAGAACATTAACAGTCACAACTCAAGAAGCAAAATGGCTGTTCATAGGTAATAAACTCAGACAGATGCCTCCTGCACACAAACAGCCAGCGCCTCTGAGACAAGAGGCTCTAAATAAATAATCAACAAAACTTAAAGCTGAATGCACAGTTGCTATTTGCATCATCAATAATTGAGCAGACTTTTATTTACTCATTCTGGTGGCAGAGCAGATAACAAAGAGGAGCTCCTCAGAGGTCATACACGAGAGATGGCTGTTACTTCATCACAGTCGTTCAGTTCCCGCCAGCGGTTTGCTCCTGCACTCCTCCAGCTAAGCACCGCTCACTGGCAATGAGAAAGGAGAACAACCAAGCCATCCCCATCCCCTCGGAGCACTGGGCTCCCCCTTTGCTGGCCCACTTGGCTCTGTGCTGGTGGCTGGGGGAAGTGGAGCCAGCACCTGCGGAAGTAGCTGAGCAGAGCCCTGCTAGCAGTGGAAGTGGGAGTCTGAAGGCTCCGTCACAACAGGAAGGTCTCTTCATCCATCATAACCCAGCCACGTTTGTAAGTGTTAGAGAGACGCTCACCTGGTGGCAAAGCATCCTCTGTTGTGGCCCAGCGGGAGCAGCTGCACCAGGAACACACAAGTCCTTTTTGCTGGTGAAGCTGTAGGACACTGGTCTCCATCAGGGAGCTGTTGAACTGTTTGAGGAGCACTGGTCAGGTCTCCAGCGGTAATGCCAACAGGATGAAAGAGTAGTGGTCACAACCACTGTCTCCACTGGCGGAGAGAAGTGGGTTTAGAGCTTTGTTCCCAGAAGGTCACAGAATCACAGAATTGTTTAGGTTGGAAGGGACCTCTGGAGATCATCTAGTCCAACCTCCCTGCTCAAGCAGGGTCACCTAGAGCAGATTGCCCAGGATCCCATCCAGACGGGTTTTGAATATCTCCAGCGAAGGAGACTCCACTACCTCTCTGGGCAACCTGTTCCAGTGCTCTGTCACCCTCACGGTCAAGAAGTTTTTTCTCAGGTTTAGGTGGAACTTCCTGTGGTTCAGCTTCTGCCCGCTGCCTCTTGTCCTGTTGCTGGGCACCACGGAGAAGAGGCTGGCCT